TATTTATTTAGAAACAAAACACACACACACACACACACACAGCCACACACACGCACACATACATGCATACACTCATAGCTTGTTTATCCGGATGGTCCGGGACCGGGCACTGCCCGTAGCTTCGAAATGTCCATAACTCCGAATCACATACAACTTGATGGGGGCAGTCCATAGTCTATAATATATATGGCATATGACGTCACTATTCCCAGAAAAGTGACAACAGAGTAGTAATATTTTCACTGAAACTCGCCCATAAGGTTGCCCAGCTAATCGAGGTATGTGTTTACCTTCACAACAATGTCAACATCACGCTGAGGCGAGTTGAACCATGACGGCAGGTAGACGTCATCTCTTAGCCCAAAAATGACAAAGATCTCACGGAATTGCTGGATGACAGTGGACCGTGTCCCTGCAGGTATCACCATAACGATAGAGAGAAGAAGAAGGAAAAAACACCTTAACGGGATGTCCATTGCTACACCGTAGCTCAGTGATTAGAATATCACCGCACTCAAGTGAAGGTCCCTGGGTCGTGTCCTGGTGGTGACAGTCAATTTGTTGTTCAGACTGTTCCCATTGGCATCTTTCCCTCAAACCAATGGAAAACGGGATCATCAAAGGGATCAACTTCAACTGGTGCGCACAATTATATAACTGAGTCAGCCAAGGCTGAGCTACACCTTCACATGCAACTCTCTCGACTCCATTCATCTAGATGGATATTCTCTGGTTAAAATCCACTGTCAGGTTACTGGCATGACGACCATAGAACCAAGGTGCCCTACGCAAACAGAATCGGGCACTATGGTGTTTGCGGAAGAGTCCCGTCCCGCAATGGCTACATCAAACAGCTAAAGGAGAATGCGGTACTTGTCGGATTAGTGCCCCCGTGTCCTGACAGGCAGTTATGAACCACGTGATTGATTACCTTATTTTACAGGGTCTTAGCTGCACCCCCCCCCCTTTTTTAATATTTGAGCCCGGATCAGCGAAAACCATCGCTTGTGTTTGATATCAAGTTGATCAAAAAGTGACGTTGAAGTCGAGCGAAAGAAAAGTCGCGGACCTAACAACTACCCATCACCTTTCTGTCTTTCTTGTCACTAGTCTTTCTTTCCGCCTGACAAGCCCGTGTTTGTTTGTTTGTCAGTGACTAGCTAGCTAGGCAAGCCCCAGGCAAGTGAGGAGACACGGCTAGGAAACCCCACATACCTGAGCTTAGCTGGCGAATAGGTACGATCGCGGGGCGCGAGCATCGCACACGCATCGATCGTCGTTGACGCCAATCACGACACGACATTTTTTGGTGATGACTGGAATGGCGATTGCTCATCAAGAGAGTCAGGTGAAAGCCGACGGAGCTCCAGAGGACCACTCTTTCCTGCCGCAAAGCGACTCGGCGAGGCTGCAGACTTCGTGTAGAAGAAAGCAGCGCTGATGAGAATGACGACGATTCGAGTGGATATTGTTGAACGATGTACGACTCCTTCACTAGTAAGTTTGTCGGATATCGACAGTGACGATGCAGAGCAAAGGCGTCTCTATTCACGACTGGAAGAGCAACGAGAGCTAGCGCCAGACAAGATCTGCTTCGTTGGCTGGGACGCTGAGCAACTTGAAACATTTATTGGGTCCATGATGCAGCTCCCAAAAAATTCAAAAAATATATTCCTGTAGGGTCAGGTAACCGTTGAATGTATCTGCACCTAGTACGTACCTCATGCTCATGAGCCTGTGTGCTGAGCAGTCACAGCTACTGTGACTGATTGCACTCCGTGTGTGCAGATATACGGTTTTCATGGAAGTGAAGGGCTTGGAGAGCATCAGTACAGAACCTGGTGTGGATGCAATATCAGCCCCTGGAACTTGGCCATATGCTGTTAGCTGCGCGATAGTCAGTGAAGCCAATGATTTACTTGGACAAGCCAGTGTCTGAGTACACCCCCAAGGACTATAAAATTCCTCCTTGTTAGCCGGCTGAGTGATGGCAATGCCTGACAGGATCAGACACATACCAATGCTCATACTTGCATCCTACACAGAAATGCCACTTCCAACATTCGCCATACAGCGATGTGGTGTACCGCATTTTTGGGTCACTTACGGTGCTGCGATTGATTTAAAATTTCTTGAGACTGGTTATCAGTGGTTGTGGATCAATTTGGAGCACAAAAATATTTTTTGAAAATTTTGCACATGTGATGGTTTTTGCTGATCCAGGCTCATTTTTTAACATTCAGAGTAGAAGGCGCACCTCACATCTTGAATTTTTGGCCATCCATACTTGATGGGTACCATAAAAGTCTCTTTGTTTGTCCCTCACTCTGAACTGGCGACATATAAGCATCGGACAAACACATGCGCACACGTACACGCAAATGCACACACGCACACACATACGCACATACACATACACACATACACATACACACACATACACACACACACACACACACACACACACACATACACACATACACACATACACACACACACA